CCGCCATCACACTGTAAACATCATAGTTTCACTACAGGGTGAAAATATTATCTAATATCTCTACTAACTAAAATAGATCTTAACTCAAACATTTTTAACTGCATTTTTGAACCATATCTATTTATTTATTTTGCAATGCTGTGAACCTTCACATCAGTGCGTTTTGCAGCAGGTCTCTCCTACACTGATTACATTTAACCTCTGATTTATGAAGGGAAATGTTCTTTTTCTCTGCTAAGCTGCTCATTTACTGTCGGAAAGCTGAATAAACTAAACTTTGTTTTGAAAACTCTCTGAATACAAAAGGATGATAAAGTTAGTCTAAGTCTAAGGTTCTCTGATCACAAGCAGACCGCCTCGCCTCCTGTTTACAGTCAGCTGACTCCTTTCTTGGGTTTTCACAGATCTCTGTTCACACCAGTGAATCTGTGGATGGGAGGGGCGTTTACCTCCACACTGAGACACGTTTTTGGCGCCGACGATGCCCTGTCCTTCAGTGCTGGGACATGGCTCACAGGTCAGCTGACCCTCCATGTCCTGGTAAGTCCCAGGAGGACACTGGACACACTGCTCCTGCTCACCACTGTAAAACGTCCCCGCACCACAGCTCACTGTGCAAAGACCAAACAGGTGAATGATTGCATTGCTGGGAATTATGGAGAAAACCACAGCAGCTCCAGACTCACCACACTTCCCATCGTGGAAGACCTGACCCGTGCTGCAGGTCTCGCCTCCCTCTAGAGTCCTGACGGGTTTCTGGGCCACTTCATACTCGGTTCCAGAAAACTGGATGTAGAACTGCTGCTTGATGATGGACCTCCTCAGTGTACGCATGGCGCTAGCGAGTTTATTCCTGGTCTTCTTCCGCACGCAGTCAATGTTACAGGAGTCTGAGGGTTGAGGATGAAGCTTCTTTCATACTCAGAATGAATCTTATTTGGCGTTTTTAATTTAGGACAAAGAGAGACCACGACACCTGAGGCTTCCTCTTCCTTCATCTCAATTTCAAACTCCGCTGAGATGATCGAGACCTCTTTTGATGGAGACTTGCGTCCCCTGCGGCGCTTCTTCGACGAGTCGCACTTGAGGTTGACAAACGTTACTTGGCAGTCATCGGTGCAGAGGAACTGACCTCCTTCCAGAGTAAAAATAGAGATCAACAAAATAAAAACCCAAAATAACCAAAGTATGGCAGCGAACCCTGAAAGCAGGCCAGGAGGTTCTTTACCTTGGAGGTTCTGTGGGGAGGGATCCCTGAGTCTCTCCTTGGTGCGCGGGCTCAGGTGACATTTGGCATCTTTAAGCTTCAGCTTGGCAAACTCCTTGATAGGTGTGGCCAGTGGGTCTGTGTTTGTCCATAGCAGAAAGAAACACAAGGTTGTTTTTATTATTTTTTTATTTACTTCTTTGGACAAGGCTTAAAACTTTCCTTTTTGATAAAGCTTCTAGTTAGAGTGGCTCAGGTTA